CGGTGATCTTAGAGGTCTTTTCCAACCTCAATGATTCTATGATTCTATGATTCTATAAAAGAGATCAGGAAATGCGAAAGTTAAGAGTGGTCACAATTCATAAGTACTGGTTTCGCATCATAGTTATACAGTGACATGACTTGCACTATTTTACACCACTATTTTCATTATCTTTTATAATTGACCTTTTTGCTTCCTTAAGTTCATCACGTAGTAGATCACACTCTAATTATATTTTGCAATGCCAGGCATTTCAGGATTCCTTTCTGACCCAGTTGTGCTACTGATGAGCAGTGCATTTCAGCAGTAAATCAGAAAAGGTTTCTCCTACGACTGTGTATCACACATGTCAATCCTGGGTGAAATCTAGCTGCCCCTGTTGCATAGAGCAGGGAAAGATTGCAGCATAGGATTGAGAGGTCCTTTCAGGAGGCTGGTTTTTGTTGTTTTGTCCTTGCTGCTTCTTTCTCCATCTCTGTCCAGACCCCTGTCCCACAATAAGGTACAGGTGTTGGCTATGTAAGATTCCTTGACTACTAATAAATCATCATCAGATTGTACCAAAACATATCCATTTTTAAACACAGCATCCTGCAAATCTTTTATTAAAATTCTTAGAAAAAATAGTGGAGGGCCCAGCAAAGCTCTGAAGGAGCCTTGTCCATGTGAGCCGTATCTTTCCCCAGGTAAATGCAAAAAGGTATTAGGGCCATGCTCTGACAAGTCGTCGGTCCATTTGCCCACCTAACAGATAATTTTTCTTCCTGCCTTCCTCTTTGTTCTTAGGCTGTCAGAATGCAGACGGCCTGAAGGCCATTCTACCTTCTTGATCGAGATGTATATATGAAAAACCATGCCCCTTTGACAGTTCAGAGGCCTGTATTTGATCTGTTTGGGTCTTAGGCACAGTCATTAGGGCTCAGACCTGTCTACAAAGATATTTCTGGTAAGCAGACAGATTAAAACCTTTGCTTTGCCTTGCAGCATTTGTGGACCCTACACTAAGCAAGTCATATTGCAGTTAGCATCTTGCCTTTCACACTCCATACTGTGCTTATATACACAAACTTGCTAGGTCAGCACATTCAGTCCCAAACCACAGTGTGTATATGAAAGAGCTGTTACCCCAGAGTTGAGCAGAGTTGAGAGGAACAATTTGCATAAAGCCTAGAAAACAACAGAACAGGGTTATAGCACAAGTCAAAGAGAATGGGACAGTTCCCTCTAAATTCATAGCCAGTAGTTAAAGCAGTTTTTGTGTGAATTTGATCTGCCACTGCTAAGCCACAAGGAGTGTAGACCTATAGATTTCCTTCAGAAAGTCCTGAGAACAAGTTCAACTTTTCAAAAATAAATAGCTAGCATGCAGCATAAAGTTAGACTACCTGTCCTTGAACTGCTTCTATGTTTTTGACCGACTTCAAAGGCAGTATTTCATTTGAAAAAAATGAAACTATCCTCCAACAGTGGATTAGTGGACAGGATGAGATGGTACCCCCATTATGAAGAAATCCTCCAAATTGTCTCTGAGAACTTAGCAGGCAAGCAGGCCTCCTTTAAGGAGGAGAGCTCTTAGGAAGGTGTGATTTCTTCCCCTTCTTATAGGAGACAAAGCAAAATTCTTGGAGGACATAACTCCCTGACCTACCTCTGAGCTCCGATTACCATTTATTTCCAGCTTGGATGTCTCTTCTGAAGAAACTACCATCATGCATCAAATATTTGGGGGCTTTCTGAGATCCAGAGGTACTTTTCCACAACTATTGCTCACCTTGGAATTGTCTGTGCCCTTCTGTCTGCCTGTGATAAACAGCTGATCATGTGACTGGCTGTGCTGGTTTTGGCTGGAATAGAGTTAATTTTCCTCATAGTAGCTAGTATGGGGCTATGGGACAGCTGACCCCAGCTGACCAAAGGGATATTCCACACCATATGATGTCATGCTCAGCAAATAAAAGCTGGGGGAAGAAGGAAGGGGGGGTGTTCGGAGTGATGGTATTTGTCTTCCAAGTAACCATTACACGTGATGGAGCCCTGCTTTCCTGGAGATGGCTGAACACCTGCCTGCTGATGGGAAGTAGTGAATGAATTCCTTGTTTTGCTTTGCTTGTGTGCGTGGCTTTTGCTTTACCTATTAAACTGTCTTTATCTCAACCCATGAGTTTTCTCACTTTTACCCTTCCGATTCTCTCCCCCATCCCACCAGGGGGGAGTGAGTGAGCGGCTGTGTGGTGCTTAGTTGCCAGCTGGGGTTAAACCATGACACTGGTGTAGTAGGTATGAAGGACGGAAACTGGCACAGTCAGTTGACTTCCCCTATTGCTGAGCTTTTCAGCATTCCAATCATGTGCTTGAGCTGCAAAGCAGTTTCCGATTCCTACGAGGCCTTCCTGGATGTTCCTTTGCATATAAAAGTAAGAGGGTTTGTAATTGTGCTTCAAGACGTCCTGAGGCCCCTGTAGCTTTCCAGAATCCATGCAGTTGACTTAAAAATGTATACTGCAAACACAAGAGAGCTTGGTGGTGGGTGGGAAGTGGAATGGACTGTGTCTTTCTGGGGAGGCCATGGCAGTGGTCTCCCCGTAGGTGCTGGCTTTAAGCTGGACAAGCACGCGTTATCCTCTCTGCACCCTCGATGTACTCTCATCCTTCTTCATTTTGCTTCCCTCAACACCCGTCTGGCTCCGAGGCTGATGAGTTGTCTTGTTTTCATTATTGATGACCCTGCACGCCATCGGTAGATGAACTGTGTTGTGCCACAGAGAGGTAGCTCTTGATAGCCCTGGGAATCCCTTGGAAATGAAGGAAATGTTCAGCATAATACTCTCTTTCTGACTCCTTCTGGACACTGCTTGGGGGTTCATGGTGGGTCTCCTCAGCCTCAGCTACCTGGGTCTTTGTGTAAACTCCTAGTAAGTGTTTGGGCGAGGGCATTTACCTGAGCTCAGTGCTCTCCTTTCTCACTCCTCCAGGCAGCCTCATCTGTCACCGCAGCTCTGGAGGACTTGTGAAACCCGAGCAGCTGGATGGCGAAAACTGCTTTAAATGTAGCAAGAAAGATGATTACTGACGACATAATACTAGATCCTGCGTGAATGTGTTGCATGTCATTGAGCATGAGTTATCTTTTCCCATAGATTAGATGCACAATAATGAGACTCAGTTGTGGGTTTTTAAAAAAATTTTTTAAATTCAGTTCTTATGGAACTGAGTAGCCTTAAAATAGTGTAAGGATGTGTGATACCTGAAAGCTTGTCTGGCTTTCTGGGGGGAAAAAGGGTGCATTTCAAGGGTGCATCACACTTGGCTCTGTGCTTGGTTTCAAGATGTGAAAAGATGGTCTGCTCCGACAGAGCTGCTTTGGCTGAGAAGATTCCTGCCATCCATTACACGTTGCTTTAGGGAAAACCAAGTGTTCATGATCCCCAAAGATGTATTTATACACCTCTAGCCCCTGGTCTTTGAAGGCTATTTCATGAAGTACTTCAGGATCATTTCTGAGCCCTCTTGGTCTCTCCTTAGGTTGTGGAATATCCAAGTACTTGGATCTTTGGTCATGCACATCACAGGCAGCTGGAGAACCGCTCCTCTACACCTTATATGCTGTTCTGGTACATAGCAGTAGCAGCTGTCATGGGGGACACTATTTCTGCTACACAAAGGTAAACAGCATCTTCCTTCCTAGCAGGGGAAAAATGTGGGCTGACTTGGTCTCTCCTTAGGTTGTGGAATATCCAAGTACTTGGATCTTTGGTCATGCACATCACAGGCAGCTGGAGAACCGCTCCTCTACACCTTATATGCTGTTCTGGTACATAGCAGTAGCAGCTGTCATGGGGGACACTATTTCTGCTACACAAAGGTAAACAGCATCTTCCTTCCTAGCAGGGGAAAAATGTGGGCTGAGAAGACACGAGGGCATTTACCTGAGCTCAGTGCTCTCCTTTCTCACTCCTCCAGGCAGCCTCATCTGTCACCGCAGCTCTGGAGGACTTGTGAAACCCGAGCAGCTGGATGGCGAAAACTGCTTTAAATGTAGCAAGAAAGATGATTACTGACGACATAATACTAGATCCTGCGTGAATGTGTTGCATGTCATTGAGCATGAGTTATCTTTTCCCATAGATTAGATGCACAATAATGAGACTCAGTTGTGGGTTTTTAAAAAAATTTTTTAAATTCAGTTCTTATGGAACTGAGTAGCCTTAAAATAGTGTAAGGATGTGTGATACCTGAAAGCTTGTCTGGCTTTCTGGGGGGAAAAAGGGTGCATTTCAAGGGTGCATCACACTTGGCTCTGTGCTTGGTTTCAAGATGTGAAAAGATGGTCTGCTCCGACAGAGCTGCTTTGGCTGAGAAGATTCCTGCCATCCATTACACGTTGCTTTAGGGAAAACCAAGTGTTCATGATCCCCAAAGATGTATTTATACACCTCTAGCCCCTGGTCTTTGAAGGCTATTTCATGAAGTACTTCAGGATCATTTCTGAGCCCTCTTGGTCTCTCCTTAGGTTGTGGAATATCCAAGTACTTGGATCTTTGGTCATGCACATCACAGGCAGCTGGAGAACCGCTCCTCTACACCTTATATGCTGTTCTGGTACATAGCAGTAGCAGCTGTCATGGGGGACACTATTTCTGCTACACAAAGGTAAACAGCATCTTCCTTCCTAGCAGGGGAAAAATGTGGGCTGAGGAAGACAAACTTTCACGGCAGTGTTACTGGCAGCCAAGGTTTTGGAGGAGAAGGTCTCCTTACGGGAGATTGGATTTGTTTTGGCATGCTCTTGGTTCTGCAGTTTTTCTGCCTGGGTTTTTGTGGAGAAACCATGCAGTTCACCTCCAGATATCGAAGCCTTTCTTTGCAGACCAGCAATGGACTGTGGTATGAGAAGAATGATACATCTGTGGTTCTTTGTGACATCAACAACAAGCAACAACACTTCGTGACATCAGGCAGCAAGCTTATCTGTTGTTTAATGTCGGGTAATAACAATTATTAAAGTGTATTTAGGATATGTTTCCTTTTCATAGTTTTGGTATTTTTCTTATCATCATCCTGAGTGTTTCTCTTTGTGTCATAGGAGACAATTACTACCTGCATCATTCAGTTGCTCTCTTTTCCCTCCCACACTGCAGCTTTCTTCACAGCTGCCCTGCTACAGCCACACTCCTTCAAAGAGTGGCTACTGCTAAGCTGTGGATCCATGCTATTTCAGGTCTCCATCATCAAGGGCTTTCTAGACCCCACTGGATGAAGCCCCGAGCATTGTGGTCGGACCTCCTAGCCAGTGCTGCTTGCAGCTGGAGGACTGCAGGACTGAGGCCCTCCTGGCGTCCTTTTTATCTGGAATGAACCAATGACCTTGTCATTTTCCTGGATTTGTAAACATAAACTGATTTCTAAACATAAGTTCTGCCTGTAATTTTTCCAGAAAATTCCTTCCCAATAAATGAATTGGTCTTCCTTCCATTATCACAAACTGACAGTATAGTAAATGTGGACCTACTTCTACTAATAACGGGATTGTTATCCCCATTGTCACGGGGTGCCCTTCAATTCCTAGCATCTAAACTTTCTCTTGACTTTATTAATCTGAGTATTAATTTATCATAGAGTAGGTCACACCTGTGTCTATCAGAAATTCTAAAGTGTGATTATTGACTTTTATCATGATTTGAGCATGATCTCCTACCACTAGTTTGCACGCCGCAAGGGTTCTAGGCTCTCCCATCACCTGTCATTGTTGAGTGTCATACTGAGGGAATTCTGCCAATTCCTCAGCATTTTCTCTGCATGGCAGTTTCCAAGCAGGGGGATTCCCAAATCCTCTGGTCATTTGTGGCCAAACTGGACATTCTGTCTTCCACTGGCCACCTTTCTTACAGTATGCACAACAGTTTGGGTCTAATTGTCCTCTTCCCATTTCTCCTGCTGTTCCCACACCCCTTCCTCCTCATCCTTGTCCTATCATATTCATTCCTGTTCCTCTTGTCACCAGAGTTCCTCCCAATGCTACTGCAGCATATTCACTTCCTCTCTCTTTCTTCTTTCCTCTTCTTTCTTTTCTGTCTCCGATCTGCCATCATATACATATGCTGCCAGAGACAGTATCGTTTGTGGATTTGCCCCCGCCATCCTGGAGCATGCTTTACAAAGTATTTATGAATGTCTGGGGCTGCCTGTTGAGCGAATACACTCACTGCCAATTTGTTGTTAAAATCATCCTCAGTCATTCATCCATAACGCAATAATGCTCACCACAAGCGATTCCAAAAGTTGCTTGGGTGTTCATCTGATCTTTGCCTCAGTTCTTGAACTCCTTCCCAGTTACCACTGTTTTTTCCTACAGCCTTTATTGCCAGGACCAGATTATGGCAAGCTGGTTCACAGGCAGCTCGGTCATTTGCATTATTATAATCCCAGTTCAAGGTCTGCTCCTGGCCAAAGGCTGGCTGTTTCCATTACGATTTGCTAATTCTCTATCTTATTCTAATATCTGATCTCTATCTCCCTGTGAGAGACTGAAAGAGTTAATGTCTCAAACATTGTGGCAAAGCAGGTTGCGGTCTGCAAGGCAACAGTGGACCACAGGTGAGAGGCAAGGGATGCGGAGGGCATGCCAGAGGGTGCGCAGCTCCGTGTTCTGATAGGCCCGGCAGGACAACGTACCATATATGGCCTGAGGTCATACAGAGTTCATTTGAGGAAGGGGCTCACGACCACCCAAAAGACCCTCTCGTGACCACCCCCATGGTGGTGCCTGCGCAGGAGATGAGGAGTTACATAACTACCCCAGGGGTGTGACTGGCGCGGCTGAGAGGTGGGAACTAGACTATAAAAGGCGCCACTGCAAGGACCCACGTGCCCGCCCACCACCGGAGGATCAACACGTCTGCAGTCGTCATTGTGGGATCCAATGGTGATGATCTCTCTCTCCCTCTCTCTCTCTTTTCCTTTTCCTCTCTTTCCTTTTCCTTCTTCTAAATGTCTCAATAGAACCCACGCCACCTGCCATTACGCTTTCCAAGTTCATGTTGCCTCTACCATAAATAAAACATTTGATCAATTGTCTGCTGTCATTTCACCTTAATTTAGCCCAAGGGAATCACAAAACCACTATGACCCCCTGAGGTACCCAGTCTGGGTCGTGATAATCAAAAGCACCTCCACAAGCCAGGTGTCCTTTCAGATGCAATCAGATACTCAGACAGCAGTTACCCCAAAAGCACCCTCGCAAGCCAGGGGCCTGCTTCTGCCCCAGCACCTAATCCGTGTGGCGGTGTGCTCCCCGCCTTTGCGTAGGCAGTGACCACCGGTGGGGGTCGTTGCGGCTGCATCCAGCTTATGCTGGACTTCGGGAATGGATGACAACATAGTAGCCAAGTGCTGCCTGGAGCAGTGAATCAAACGACTTGCCGAGATGCAAATATGACTATAAGTCAATCATCTTACTCTATAAATAGTGGGCAGCCCAGGGCCCGTTGAGCTCTCCTGCGCGGCAGTGGGCTGCATGGCGGGAGCTCCCCTTGAGCAGGGACACCTCTCAAGGTTACTCCTCGAGGCTGAGAGATTCCTTGCCGCAACAGATCCTCGACAAGTGACTAACAGCATGCTAAACTCTGAGATCGTAGCTAAGTGACAGAAAGGATTGATTGCGCATAGATAATAATCCTTTAGACATAAACCGTTGACCAAGTCTGGGACTAGGATTGGATCCAGCCGCACGTAGACTCCTCTCTGAGAAGGAGTTTAGAAAGCAAGGGGGTCCGTTTGGAACCTCATGACTCAACGCGAGGGCCTCCCTGACAGTTTTTGTCTGACCCTGTCCTCTGTGAAGTGAATAATCAAGTGTACCTTGCCATCGAATCTTGTCAAACCGCTGTGGCATCTCCCATTGAACTTTGACTGACTGTTTTCTATCAATAAAGTGTATTGTTGCTTCTCTCTTGCAGGCGAAGTGCAGTCTCACTCCATGTGCGACAATCAGTCATCAGTGACATCGCATGCGCCTGCACAAGCCAGGGGCCGGCTCCTGCCCGATCACCTTCTTGGGACCATGTGACATCACAACCACCTACCCAAGCCAGGTGTCCATTCATACCCAATGCCTGACATCACAGGCACCTGAACAAGCCAGCTCCATCTTCCTGCCCCATCCCCTACTCAGCCACCTACGACATCGCAAGCAGCTGCACGAGCCAGGAGCTTGCTCCTGCCCTGCAAGTACTCAAACACACAGGACATCACAAGCACCTCTACAACCCAGCGGCATGCTCTTGCCCTATCAACTACTCAGCCATCAGTGACAACATAAGCAGCTGCACAGGGCAGGGGCCTGCTCCGAAACTACCTATCACCTACTCAAGCACATATGACATCACAAGCACCTGCACAAGCCCGCTGCCTCCTCCTGCCCTATCACATAGGCAGGGAAAAACAGCAATGCAAGCACCTCCACAAGCCAGGTGTCCTTTCAGATGCAATCAGATACTCAGACAGCATACCCCAAAAGCACCCTCGCAAGCCAGGGGCCTGCTTCCACCCCAGTACCTAATCAGTCATCAGCGACATCACATGCACCTGCACAAGCCAGGGGCCTGCACCTGCCCTATCGCCTACTCAGGCACCTGTGACATCACAGCCACAGGCACCTAGAAGGTTCCTGCTCCAGCCCTATCACCTGCTCCTGTACATGTCACAGCACAAATACCTGCACAGGCCAGTGGCTTCCTCCTGCCCTAACAGCTACAGAGCTGCCAGCAACATCACAAGCAGCTGCACAACCCAGGGGCCCGCTGCTGCCCTGTCACTTACTCAGGCACATGTGACATCACAAGCAGCTGCACAAGCCAGGCAACTCCTTCTACCCTATCACCTACTCAGGCACACGTGACATCACAAGCAGCTGCACGTGCCGCTGTCCTGCTCCGCACCTATTGGCAGTCAGCCAACAAGTGGCCTTCCAGGAACCTGAATAAATCAGGGGCGTGCTTCTGTCCTATCACCTTGCCAGCCACCAGGTACATCACAAGCTGCTGCAGAAGCCAGGTGCATACTCCTGCCCTATGACCCACTCAGGCACATTTGATGTCATAAGCACCTGCACAAGCCAGCTGTGTGCTCCTGCTCTAACTGCTAGAGCCACCAGTGACATCAGAAGCTGCTGCACAAGCCGGGGGCACGCTCCGGCCCTGTCACCTACTCAGGTACACATAACCTCGCAAGCACGTGAGCAACCACTCGCAGGCCCAGGACCAAGCCAAGTGTCTCCTTCTAATCTATCACCTACTCAAGCACATATGACATCACAAGCACCTGCACAAGCCTGCTGCCTCCTCCTGCCCTATCACATAGGCAGGGAAAAACGGCAACGCAAGCACCTCCACAAGCCAGGTGTCCTTTCAGACGTAATCAGATACTCAGACAGCAGTTACCCCAAAAGCACCCTCGCAAGCCAGGGGCGTGTTTGCACCCCAGTACCTAATCAGTCATCAGTGACATCACATGCAGCTGCAGGACCTATCACCTACTAAGCTAGCAGTGGTATCACAAGCGCCTGCATTAGCCAGGTACATGCTTCTGAGCTAAAATCTACAGCGTTAGCAATGACATGTCTACTTGCTGATAAGCCAGGTGTCCCTTCATACCCAAGCAGTTACTTAGCTACCAGTGACATCAGAAGCAGCTGTAAAAGCCAGGTCATGCTCCTACCCTACCAAATACTGAGACAGCTATGTCATCACATGCACCTGCAGAAGCAAGGGGCTTACTCCTTCCATATCAACTATTCATGCACCTGGTACACCATAAGCACGTGTACAAGTAAGATTCCTGCTCCAGCCCTATCGCTATCTCAGCTACATGTGACACCACAAGCAGCTGCACAAACCTGGGTTCTGCTCCTGCCTTATCACCTACTTGGGTTCATGTGACCTCAAACTTACCTGCACAAGCCAGGGGCCCGCTCCTGCCCTATCAACTCTTTAGGCACATCTGAGATCGCAAGCACGTGAACAAGCGAGG